CTCTAGTTGCCTGGGAGATGAGGCTGACCCTCACCTTGCTACAACCTCCTTTCAGGTGGTTTCGGATGCCTTTGGGTTTATCAGTTCACTACTCCTGATACTGAAATGCTGTGCTACAGACCAATTAAAGAAATATTTTTATATGTCTTTCCATCCTCATTACAATTTTTGTTGTCCCTAATAGGAGCAGTTTTATATCAAATGACAAAATCGTATAGAGCAAAATGTGATGGGAGGAGTGGCAGGTTAACACAAGGCAAGAAAAAATCTGTGGAGAATTCACGTGTGCTAGTCTGAATTTTAGAGTTAATTCTTTCACTTCCAAAGAGTAACAAGCCTGCTTTTGCAGAGATGAAGGCAGTTTTAATTAGCAGCGAGCAAACAGGCCCCAGCGGGTGGAGCAGGTAGGTTTGATCCCAAGTTTGGCAACCCAAATCAGCTGCTAAAAGATAACTGAAAGCTGTCATCTAACTCAGTGGTCCATTAAACATGGCATGTGTTTACTTGATTTTGTTTTGAAATTATTTTCATTTGTCTCAGTCAGATACATCTGAAAGTTTTGAGCTGTACCAAGTACTGTTCCTATTTGTTTTACATGCATTATGCTGGAACAACTCATGCGTTTTTTCCACTTTGCTGAGCTTCACTCTCATCATAAATTGCTTATTTAAGTTCAAATGTCAGTTAATTGTTAGGTAAATAAGTTTGAGGGTTTTAAAACTAAAACAAATCAGTAAATATAGAATATTAGCTGGGGGAAGAGTGGGAAACTGAAAGTTCCTCAAAGAATGGGGATGCTTATTAGAGAAGTATTCCTTATCACACAGCAGTATGACAGATTTTCAGCTGTACTTTCAGCTTGCAGACTCTATAACCTCAAAGGAAAATTCTCAAAGGCCTCTGAAAGACCTCTGAAAACAATAGCGTGTGTATACGTAGGCAGAATAGAGAAATATGCCCTCTCCCCATGCCCTGACTAAGGCAGTCTGGTTAAAAAACACTTCTTTGTCTGTAACAACCAGTTTCTGTAAAATTTTCATAAGGATTGATAATTTGCAAACTTCACACTCCTTCAGCCCTCCAATAATAACAAAAGCCTGAAAACATCCTAGGATATGGAGGTACTGGAATGAATTTCAAACTTCAGGCCTACTAGAATTTGAGGTCAAAATTTGGAGGAAAGTTGCTCCCATTTTAGTTACTAGCAACACTGAGGCAGTTAGTGACGGTCTTGGCTGAGTTTCTGACAATTTTAGCAGCTTTATTTGTACAGCTAGCTTTGTGGGTTGACAGTGACTACTATCTTTTGCTAGGGATGCTTGTATTTGATGCTGACATTGATGTATTTTCCTCAGAAGTGATTGCAGCTGAGTCGCTTGTTCATTTGCATCTTTATGACTCTCCAGCCAGCTTCTTGTATGTCCGTGTTGGTTGCTTTGATATTTTCCCCCTTTTCTCCCATTAACTCTGTTACTTTTCTCAAATAATGTCTTCCAGTGACACAAGTATGAGCCAAGGGCAACTGAAGAGGATTTCTTTCCAGTGTTGAGTCAAGATGAGTTGTGAGGCTTATGGAATATTTAGCTTAAAGATTTAACCTTTATCTCATCAGCCTCCCTGCGCAGACCCAGTGTGAAGCTATTGTCCTTACTTCCATTGCTATTGTTAGTGTCCTTCCACCCACCACTCATCATGAGGAGAGTCAGTGTCAATCTCCTTTCCTGAGGAGAAGCTGATCCATGCTCAGCAATTTGGTCTTCTCAGCAGGTCTTTTAGTGGCACCTCTATCTCCAGATGCCCCTAAGAGCACACTCAGGCATGTGGCCCTAGCACTGCTGCCCCCTCTTGCCTTTGTTTCCTGAAGTGCTCAAGAGACTACTTTCACCTCTTCTGTTTTGTCTGTTTGGCTCTCTGCTTCAGACACAGCTCTGGTAGGGGAAAAAGTGAAAGGTTTCTCAGATTGGAAGAACAGTTTTGTTCTCTGGAGTAGCAAGAGTGATGTTTTATTCTGGAGAACACTTTCCTCTTAAGCTTGTGCTGGTTTGTATCACCATTTGATAGCCTGTTTTATAATGTGGACTACTTATTATGTCAGCTAGCTTGTTTGGTAAGGATGTGAGGTTCCTCCCTCCTGTAGAACAGATGTATCCATCCCTCTGTCTGCTGTGATTGGTACCTGGTGTTTGGAAATACTGGAGTATCCTTAGACAGGCAGAGTAGGAACCACTTGGGTAACAGTACAGTAGAGCACTCTCTGAATACAAATTTATGTGCCTGTTTTCCTGTCTGCTTTTTCCCCAGTTTTTAATTTCTGCTTCATGCTCCTTTTCCCTTACAAACAGGGGATATTCAGCCACATAGGTTTTGCACTGTGTGGCAGAGTGGGCCAGAGCCAAGGAGAATTAATTCTGGTCTAGGATTGGGTTGTGTGTGTATGTTCTTAGAATAGCTTTTGCTTTTAGATACTTGACGAATTATCAAAGCAGAAGAAAGCATGTATGTCTCTGCCTTGACCCTCATGGTGTTTTCCAGGCCAATAATGTTGGGCTGCTTGTACTTTCTCTGTGTCCTGGCAATGCTCTCTGCAACAAACACCCATTCCCTGTTCCACCCCCCACCCCCCGCCATTTTGCAGTCAATCTGACTTGCCAGAATGGACAACTTCACTTCTGTGGAATGGTTTGCTGCCAGTGGCAGCTCCTCTGCTCAAGAAGCCATTCCACACTGCTGAGGGCTGTGGTATGTAGGTGGGCCAGGTGGTCACTGAGGTGACTGCAGCTGTGGGTTGTAAATGCAATTGATACTTTTCTCAGCTTAAGTTGCTCCCATTGCATGTGGGTACAGGGTTGGTTCTAGCCAAAGCCTGTGTTTGCTGACTCATAAAGGTGTTTGTCCTTTTTCCTGAAGCTCAAGGTCATCTGAGCTCCATTTTGCTATGCTCCTTTCTGCTAGCAAGCCAGCCCAGAGACTGCTTCCTGCTGGTACCTATATGTTCTGTCCTCATGTCTATTTGACCTCTACTGAATTTAGCCTCTAAGTTCAGTAATTTGTTTAAATCCTTGTGTGATGCTCGGCTTTGATGGGCAGCCACTTTCTTGGGGCAGCGAAGGACATTCTCAGTGGCTGGAGATGCCTCTCCCTCCTTATCCTCCTGCCTGTCCTTCCCCCTTTCCTTTCATTCGGCCTACTTCAGCACCTCATCATCACAGGAGGGAGTTTAAACCAGCTGCAATTTGCAAAGACAGTGGCTCAAAATGTCTGCAAATAAGAGAGATCTGTGGCAACACTGATGTTATGGTACTGCCACTCAGGGTTGCCCTTGCCAGCAGCCCAACACGGGTTTGGGCTGTCTCCTCCCCAACTCTTCCAATGCATCCCTAGATTTTCTATCGATCCTCTACAATGCCATTTCGTGACTATTGATAAACACAGCAGTGCACTCGGAATCCTGATTGGCTCAAGAGGCAGAGTGCTCTTAAAAGTGCACTCCTGCATAATATTCCTGCATATTGAAGTAATGGCCCTAAGTACTATTCACTATGTCAAGAGATAGAAAAGGCAGTCAGTAACTGAGAACTGAACTCAGACAAAAATCATGATGCTGAGACCATTGCAATAAACCTGGGACAGGTCTTGCTGGGCTGGCTTCCAGTAGCTAAGAAAGCCTGAGTGGAAAGCGACAGAAACACTAACCCGATCTTGGGGAGAGCAGGCTCACTGTTCTGAGACTTGAAATGAACAAACAAGTTCTGAAAAGATACAAAAAGATTTGACTATCAACCTTTAGGAAAAGATGTTATGTCTTTTAAAAGAAATAGGAACTGCTCTTTCTTTACCACCCTTTATTTTAATTATTTGAAAGTAGTGCTGCAAAATTAGCAATCTTACATGAATTCAATAGCAATTTTATGATGGTATAGGAAGCGTATTTTTTGTGGCTCTGTGAACTTGATGTGTCAAGCAAACTTACTCCTCTGACATATCCGTCTTTTTTTCATGACCTCTGAAAGTAATGTTTTGTTTTGTTCTGCTTTCCTATTATTCATGAGCAAGTCTAAGATGTTCACATCCTCCCACAGCTTCTGGTTGAATATAGGTTTCACATTAAAGTTCTGTACTTTTTTCCCTTTCTTCAGTGAGCTTTGATGTATCTGTTTGAGTTTCTCCTTCCATCTGGTATTCTGCATTGAGAGCCACGATCCACACTGTTAACTCCTCTCTGGTATTTTCTCTTTTGTATATGTTTGGTGGAACTCCTAAGCTGCATCAGAAATCTACCGAAAGCACATTTGTGGTGTTTCAAGCCCTTCAACTTGGGCTTTATGACATTTTGTGCTGGCTTGAGAGTGCTGCCCTGTTGAAAAGCAAAAATCTCAAAATTGTCTTTCTTCTAGCTGTCTTGTTGCCCTATGTTTTCTCCCTCCTCCTCTTTTGCCATATAGAAGAACCTGCTTTAGGACACAAACCCCACTACACGAATGAAACTAGACAGAGAAATTTAGTGTTTGCCTTTGTGAAGCAATTGGATCAGTGTTTATTCTCAGAAACTTCTCATTTGGTGAAAAAGAGATTTTACTATTGAGCTAGAAGATTGGCTTAATTTCAATAATTTATGTGAAATAGTAAAATCGTTCTCTTCTGAACTCATACTCACTGTAGTACAAGACAGAATAGTGAGTGGATTAAGTGTGGTTTGGATATAAATGTTCAGTATATGTTATATTATTTTCCCATTTAAAAAAGTCTTAGACTTCACTCATGAGTACTGCAGTAACTGTATTTTAGGGCAGAGGCTCATCTATCTATTTTGTTGAAATGCAAACCCTTCAGCTACTAGGATGTGTATTTTTATTACATATTACGTTTTTATTAAAATGTGGTGTTGTAATAGGATTCCTCTTTCTTCAAGGAGCCTTTTATATATACTTATGCTTATATACACACACACTCTCATTAAAAGTGATTTTGCTATGGGGAAGAGGGCATGGAGTCCAAAAGTCTAGGTTTTACATATTTTATTCATAAAAACAGATTTGCAACAATTTATTAAAAATTGATCTCATGCAGTATAAGGTTATACAAGAAATTCTTCATTTACATTTTATTCTGGCAGTTCCAGTCTAGTTTAAAGCATTTGTGCACTAACATCATTGAAAAATGCCATTGGGGCACAGCCTCTTCATAAATTTACAGTACATTTTTGCTGCAGTATAAAAGAACAGAAACATTAAATAGCTATATTCACTTGGTTGGTCTTGTTATCTGCAGTAAAGTAAAAAAAAAATGTTATGGGAGAAACTACAGTATCATTGAGACAAAGAATGTACTGCATGGTTTAAACCTAATAAACGTCACACAGTCAGTATTCACGAAGTTACAGACACACACACACACACACACACACACACTCACCTCCAATGGTCCGATACTTCTGATTTTTTTTTTTCCTGCTAAGTTGGAATAATATTTCTACAGAGATCTTTGTGTATACATTATATACAATATTGTAATTTTATCTTTTTAAAAATTAACATTCCTTTTAAAATAAACCAGGCCCTGATGATATTAATAAAGCAAGAGAATACTGTCAACACACATTGAGTGACAACGTCAGTGTTTAGTGCTTAAACAGAGTAATGAGTTCTATTTTATCTGTGTTTATACTTACAGGTTTTTTTTGTTCTAAAAGCTACAGATATTTCCATACCCTCTTTTACTGTATGTGCCAAGTGAAATATTTTGTGATGCTCCTGATTGTAAGATTCAGATACATATTCATGTTGGTTTTGGCCACTATGAGGTGTGTTTTATTTTTAATGGAGATTTATGCTAGCTTGTCAAAGCTGCAGTTAAATCCCTCAGCTAACGAACCCCTTCAACTGTGCTTCAGTCGTTGCTGATTTGTAAACCTTTGTAGGTATGTCATTCTGAAGGTTTGGTCTGAGGTGCACAGGTGTTGGTCAAAGAAAACTGAGAGCCCAGTGGGTGCTTCATGTGTTTTTTCCCCCCTACTTTCAGCAAACAGCCCTGGAAGTCAGAGGACACATTTCCAGTCCCTTGGAAAAAGAAGCTGCACATGTGTCTCACCTGCGCCTGAGGGTTTGGCTCCAGATTTGGTCCAGACGGTACACCACTATCCTTCCTCCTAATTGCTTCAGTTAAGGGAATGGAACTAAAGTATAAAACCCTTTGTTTTGTTTTGTTTTGTTTTGTTTTGTTTTTCACAGTCCTTTTAGGCTTCAGATAAAATATTCTATTGGTAAATTGGATTTGTCCTCTCTATTATCTGCTACAACTGTCACACACAGGGATGAAGCAAACGTAGTGTATATTCACATCTATGAGCTCTGCAGGCTTTGCCTGCAGCAGCAAAGTGCTGTGCCCTAGCCCCTCCCCCTACCCAAGTCAACTAAATTAATTTTATTGTAATTATGTGTGACACAATTCAAACAAACTAGGAAAAACAATTCATCCTGTGACATTAAGACTTTACTACCCATCTGTCCTCAGTTTCCTGAGTTATCAGCCCTAGGACTTTTCCAGACAGTTTAGTACATTACGGTTGGTGGTGTTTATTCTGAAATAGGTGCAAAAACTTTGCTAAAAATGAAGCTGCAGATGGTCAGCAGTTACTACCATTTTCCCTGGAGAAGGGCAAAGCACTCCTCTTGCAACCAGCAGCTCTCTAGCTGGTGGCAATTCAGAGTTGGAGCTTCATGCTCTGCTTGGGTTTCACATACAGCTGCAAGTTAGAGGTGACTCTGCTCACAGCACTGCAGTCTCAATGACACCTGAGGAATCATTTCTCACAATTCCTTCCTACTGAACATCATCACCTGAAATGAAAACAAGCAAGACTAACCAGTGCAGAATGTTTCCAGCGATTTTACACAACTCTTGTAAAAATGAGTGTATTTGTTTCAACATGGTATAGCTCAACCACTGCATTTTCCTTACATAGATACAGTATAGAATTGCATGTTCTCAGCAGCCACACAAAGCTCAGTGACATTTGAGCGTTTGGTTTTTTTTTTTCCTAGTGTCTTTTTTGCAAGATCCGTATTTCCCAGCCTCCTTGTTGCTAGTAGAAATTTTGGAAGAAACGTTTTTTTTTCAGTGACTTCTACGTGAAGAAATAAAAACTCCATGAATAAGGCTACAGATCAAACTCCTTGTGTCCTTCTCCTTTGCCTTCCCACATGAGTTACACGGGCACTCCTGTGACGAGGGCCTCAGCGGCAGTTCCTCTGTGGTAAGAGCCAATGTTACATGTTTGTAGCAGAGTTCCAGGTCAGATGTTTAGTCCAGTCATTGAGTACTTAAAAGCAGTTCAGGAAGCACAGATCTCCCTTTCCTACAGCCCTGAAACCATCACTCGAAAGGAGGGCGGCACGTGTCTGTGCCGGGGGCTGGCACTGGGGCTTACGCACGGACTGGCACAGCTCGCATCCACTCCTCCTATGGACGGCAAGTAGGCATGGTGAAGAATGGGCAGCTGCAAGGACAGCCGACGCTGTATGCTGATGGAGAGACAGAGAGAGAGAGAGGGCGGTTAGCCAAGGGGAAAATGTAATACATTACATGGTTGATATGTTCACAGGTTGCTGCGAGGATGTTTCTTGTGCCTGCTGCTGTGATTGGGAGGGTTAATGCCAAGAGCATCGCACTTGCTGCTGTTGAGCTGTGCCACCATGACGTTATTTCCCCTTGGGGAATTTTTCTGACAGATTAGACGTTACAGAGGAATCTAAGGGTGCTTTCTCAGCATTCCACAACCTTCTAAAATTCCCAGGCACATTCAGGTTAATTGATAGAGTGCTGATGCCAGGAAAAGGGAAAACCTTAAGTCTGCAGTAAGGGTGAATAGTTTGGTGAACCCCAGCCCCTTGTAAAGCTATCTACTGCATGCAGAGCCCTCGCTAACTGTGTAGACATACATGAGGTCACAGAGTTTTAATCCATGCACCACTTAGCACAAGGATTAAGGATGGCATTTTTGCAACTCCAGCTAAGGCAAACACAAGTGCATGGCGGGAGGGAATTGGGACTGATGGCTTTTTCCAAGTAGTTCCTCTTTAAAGCTTGTGTCTGTTCTTTTGAGGTGATGGATGCTTTTGAGTTTCAGCAGTCAGTGCTACGGGCCTGAGGAGTTGGCATTATAAAAGCAGTCTAACCTACTACTTACATCGAAATTCAGTATTTAGGAACCCAGCATTCTCTATCCATTTTTCCAAGCAGGTTGACATCATGATAACTTGTACCAGGGTTTTTTAAAAAAAAAAAAAAACAACCAAAAAAACCCACTAAACTGTGCTCACAGGTATCCCATATAACCCCTCTCCCTGGAGAAGATGGTGCCCTGAGGGGCTCTGCTATCCCTGTGCTATGAATATACTGACACCCTTCACAAAACCAGAATCCAGTTAAGGTTTGCTAGCATAACATATATTTTCAGTCATCAAGATGTTATCAACAAGGTGGCTTAGCAGTTGGCGACATTCACCCTTGAAACACAGAGGCACTTTCTAAAGAGAAGACAGTTGTCAAAGTGACTGAGCTGAACTGAAGACTGGCTTTTTGATTCCAGAAGAAAAATGCCCATAGAAAGCATTTTATCAGTAAATTTAGGTTTCCCTGTTATCTGATAAAATGACTGTGTATAGGCAGGCCTTTATAAGAGGTGCATGTTTGAAAGCTAGTCTTTGGACAGCCTTTCTGATTCAAAAAATATGTAATTTCTTTTTTGCTTTGTGTTATGAAGCAGAGATAGATACCAAGGCATACCTTGCACTGCTGAGGGACCAAGCAGTATAGCTTTTGAGTTCAAACAGAAAGAAATGTAATATTCTTCTCTTTAGCTTCTTCACTACAAACTGTGGCTTGCTTATACAGAGATACAGTAGAAATAGCTGTTGTCTTCTATCCAGGAAACTCTTTCTCATTCTTTTTCCCTTTCAAACCTCTACAAAAGTTTCATGCAATGTTAATCCACAGTGGTGATCATTCTAGTGCTGGCAATGCATTCCTGGGACTAAACAAAATCCATTCATTGTTATTTTGCCACTGTGCCCAACTCTTTCTGGTGCTATCAATGAAACCATGCCTTGTTCCCAAGGAGTGCAGAGGTGGCATGGCTCACTGCTTCCATGTGCTGAATCCTTATGAGCCTGATGCTGCGGATTGTCCTTCCATCTCTTGTTGCAGGGTCAAAAGCAGAGTTGCCTGTGCTTATTTTCCCACCAGTGGAAATGCTTACTTTGTTCAGCTGTTATAGATTTCTCATTAAAGAGCTTTTTGAAGCTATTCCAAAAGAATCCAGTTGCATAATCAAGTGAATAGGATTGTTTTTTTCATCCATTTCAGTGTTAGCCATATCATGGACAAAGCATGTTTATTTAGCTATGCCAACAGTGGCTGCAGTGGGTGGCAAGTTTTCCTTTAACTGTACTTAAAAGTTTGCTTTCACTTGAAAACTTGTTTCCTGGAACTGGGGCAGGGAACTGTAGCCTGGAGACTCACACACAATCAAGAGTTTAGACAAAACCCTTAGAGGGGAAAACAAAACAAAACAAGTAAAAAATCCAAACAAACCTGTTATTTTTTCCTTGAGCAAAAGTAAATCTTGTGACCTGCTTCACTCTTTGAAGTATTTGTGCCTTCCCTCACTCTTTTTAGGACTTTTTTTGCAATATCAGTGATTTTTCTCTTCTCCCTCCCCTGCCCCATCAATGTTGTCAGTGCTTTTGGGGGAACCCTCAGTATCAATAAAGGCTGGAGGATGAAGAGATCCAGAGCAGCCCTGCCAAGAAGAAGTTGGGGGTGATGGTGGATGAAAAGCAAGACATGACCCAGTAATGTGCATTTGCAGACCAGAAAGCCAACTGTATTCTGGGCTTCATCAAAACCAGCATGGCCAGCAGGCCAAAGGAGGTAATGTTGCCCTCATGAGACACCACCTGAAGTATTGCATTCAGATCTGGGGCCTCCAACATAAGAAGAATGTGGGCCTGCTGGAACGAGTCCAGAGGAGGGCCCAGAAATGATCAAAGGACTGGAGGACGTCTCCTATGAAAAGAGGCTGAGGTAGGTGGGGTTCTTCAGCCTGGAGAAGAGGAGACTCCAGGGAGACCTTACAGTAGCCTTCAAGTGCCAAAGCAGGCTTACAAGAGAGATGGAGTGGAATTTTTTACAAGGGCATGGAGTGATAGGACACTGGATGATTTTAAACCAAAAGGGGGTAGATTTAGACTAGATATAAGGAATAAATTTTTTATGATGAGGGTGGTGATACAGTGGCACAGGTGGCCCAAAAAGGTGGTAGATGCCCTATCCCTGGTAATATTCAAGGCCAGGCTGCATGGGGATTTGTTCAGCCTGATGTAGTTGAAGTTGTCCCTGCTCATTGCAGGGAGATTGGACTGGTTGACCTTTCAAGGTCCCTTCCAGAATTCTATGAATATGAAAGCATATATATGGTCAAGTACTTTGGAGAGGGAATGGTAAGTATTAGTGGGTCTGGAATCATAGGCAAGCACTGAAGGAGATGGAAAGGAAAGGTGGTGCCACACACACGCAGCCACTCAACAGGATAATGCATTAGAACAGGGCATATATCCTCAGCTCTGTACAGAAATACCATTTATTAGAAAAATATAAATCAGGTAAAATCTTGACTTCCAATGTCAATGCAAATGGGAACACAATGCAATGCACATGGGAATACCACAGAGGGGGCAGAGGCATTTGAAAAATATATTTTGGTTTTGTTATAGAAAATTACTACTGAGATCTATTGGTACACGGTGGGACAGAAACAAGTGCTGCCACAGTCAAGCATCCAAAGTTCTGTGGGAGTGTGTAAACTGTGTCTAAACACTCAGGGATTATTTCAGTTAATTCTGCAGCCCATAAATGTTGATTTTTAGCAGCTGCAGGGATGCTCAAGAAGTTTTAAAGGCTACAATAAAGCAAGATGTTGAACTAGCAAGTAAATTAATTGTTATAAATTTACCATATTTTAATGACAGACTTGAGTAAGATCATAGATAGACTAATATGAACCACTGTCAATGAAGAAACTGTATAGCAGAGGCATGTTCATGCTGAGGCATATGGCTGTAATGCAATAATCCAGTCACAACCAGCTTCTTAGAATGAGAATTTTTGGTTACTAAAATTAACATAACTGGCTCCAGTTATGCTTTGAAGTTATGCTTTGAAGGTTACAAAAAAACCTGCATATAGAAATAGTCTACTAAAATGGCAGGTTTTAGTGGGTTCCTGCAGAAATCTATCAGCACCTTTACTTAGAGATCTGGAAGATTGGTACATATTATTGCTGTTAAATGAGAACAGTATAAATTTTTAACAGTGCCAAAAACTAATTCAGTGGATGTAGGGCACTGATGAGACAGGACAATAGAAAGAAATGAAGGTGCACAGAAGGTTGTCGTTGGGGGTCATAGAAGATAATCCATTGAGTATTCATGTGGCCATCACACAGATAAGCTGACTGACATGATCTTTAGATAAACAAGCAGGACTGCCCCGCAGGAAAGAGTTGACTTTGTGTGTGTGAGAGACAATTCAATCCACTGGGAAATGAACTGTTATATCTATTCTAAACTGATTCCAGCTGCTCTCTGGGCCTGAGATGAACTGGCATGGTGCAGCATCTATCCACACAGCTAAGCATCCCCCAAACAGGGTTTCTGAACACCAGATTGTTGCTGAGCATTACCTAGGAGAGTACAAGCTGATACAGTTGTGTTAGGGAGTATGCTAAAAAGCACAGTAGAAAATCAAAACACAAGGCTTGAGCCTGTGCACTGGCACTGCTTTGCCCACTATAGGAAGTGTTAATTTACACTGTGTAGCCAGTGTAAACAGGAAAGAAAGCAGTCAGCATGCACTTTTTGCTCTTCTTATCTGATGGCCTGACTAGGTATGGCAACTTTTACATGGCAGTATGGATAATCTGTGGCATTCTGGCCAGCAGGAAAGGGAGTAAGATGTAACAGGAACTGAGAATCATCTATATTCCTGTTCTAGGGCTGCTTTACGGTCATATAGACCACGTTTTCCCTAGGTGCAGGGTTCTACATCTAAGCCAAGCACAAACCAAATGTTTCTCACATTCTGATTAAGATGTAAATATCACACCATCAGCAAACATGAAACAACTTCCTGCATTACTGAGCCTGAAGTGCATCTATAATGCTGTGCTTTCACTTTGGACACAACTGTAGAATCATACTTGCAAAGACTGAAATCTAGCACTAGTGGTAAGGAGGAATGAAAAAATACCAAATCAACTCTTTTCTGTACTCTATAAGAATTTTCACATTGGAAGATGTCAGCTGTAATGAGTGCTGACAAGCATAGGAAGCTGGGATGATTGTTTTTCCCACAGCCATTAAAAAGTTAACAGTTCTGCAGGAAAATTATTGCCTTAATGTCCTCTTTTCACAGGCTTGTGACAAAGAGGAAATCTTTTTCAGACTAGCGTCCTTGAGATTTGTGTTCTTGAAAAAGAAATAGGTTTCTCAGACTGTGCGAATACCTATCAGGTGCCTTATGTATGAAGTGAAATGAGAAAGAGAAGAAAGAAGCTACAGCTTGATTTTTATTCCTTTCTTTCTTTCTTTCTTTTTTTTTTTTTTTTTTTTTGACAAAAATGATATATTTAGTAACCACTGAAGGCCAGAAGTGCTGCCAGACAAGCTGATAAACAAGCAGTGAAGAAGGGTATCTTAAAGAACACAAAGTTTGAAGAGAGGCAAACTCTTGTCAAAAAGACGTAAGTCCTGAAGATAGCTATACTTCTCCTCTCTGTCAGGTCCACTGTGCTTGGGCAATGTGGCTCTGGTACTCAAACTGCCAGCTCACCCTCAGGGGAGACACTGATCCTTGGACCTGGCACATTCACAGCTCTGCAAATGCTGAATGACACTGTTTCGATTTAGCAGGACTTTATTAATTGCTTTCCATAAATGTCACTGACTGTTCAGATTTGTACTGACCCGCTCTTCAGGACCTTTAGGAAATCTCAGTCTTGTCATCAGTTATCACTAGCCTAGAGGAAGTTCTGTCATCACCTTTTTTCTTTTTTTTTTTTTTTTTTTTTTTTTTTTTTTTTTTTTTTTTTTTTTTTTGGTCTGTATTAAATCTGTATTGAGACAATTGGATTATCTGAGTGTCTGTTTTTCTTAGCATCTTTCTTAATGTAAGGGGGCCACATGTGGATGGGTCTGCATTCACAAAACATTATTTCTGACAAATGGTGTTGAAAAAAACCACAGGCCTCTAATAGCTGTGCATTACAGCACTCTGCTGACCCCATGAAGTCACGAGAGCTCTCTCTGCAAGAGCCCTGCCTTTGTGAAATTACAAGATATTTCATATACTGTGGGCTTTTCTTGGGGTGTGTGTATTGGTTTCTTTGCAGGTTTGGGTTGAGATTTTTTTTAAGTGTAAGGACAGAGTTGGAAATCCATATGTTTTCCTGCACCAGGTAGTACAAGACAGTAGCTACTATGTGAAAATAGGGTTGCTGTCACAGATGTAACATATGACTCATTCTAGTAATCTGTTTAATTTATTCTGTTTTTAAAAAAGCTTTTAAGTTGCCCAGGAGTCTGACAACTATTAGCTCAGATCCTGATGAAGCAATGCTCGTGTCACCAGACTGCTGAGAGGAAATAGCTGATCCAGGGACAAATGAGCATGCCACTTCCCTGAGCTCTGGCCCATGGCAAGTCCTGCTCAGCTATTAGAGGGTAGGGCATGACTTTAATGTATAGGCTCCTAGAGAGAAAAGCTGACACCATAAGACTCTTTCCCCTCCAAAAATCTAGACAGTTTTTTGTGCCACCGTCTCCTTGTAGCTGCAGCATTGTTTCTACGGGAGACTACTTGGTGCAGGCTTTCCTGTGCCAAAACTCAGGTCCAGCTGCTATGGCAACGTTGAAAAGCCCTCAGAATGTTTTTTATTCCTCAGCAAGCTTAAGATTGGAGAAGAACAAAACGTCTATGTACACCTTGAACCCCTCTGGCAGGTGTGTGGAAGGACTTGGACTTTCGACAAGAGCCATAAGACGTGTGCTCATATGTACATCCTGTTCACTCCCCCATACACTGGTGGTCAGGCACAGCTCATCCTGCAACTCTTTACAGAAACTTTAGCTATGGATGTTTTTGACAAAAGAAACACAACACGTTAGTTTGCCTTTGGGGCACCTTTGAATCTCATGCCCCTAATATCCTTTAAATTTCATTGGGATGGTGATCAGGTGGCAGGGATGCATCACAGTACAACGTTGCTGCCTACTCGTGCTTTAGGAGGTGCCATTCACATTCTCTGTTGCTGATGTTTCAGGCCCCCTCTGTGGCTGGGGATGGCAGAAGCAGGGTTACAGTGGAGGTCTTCCCATAAAAAAATGCATGAAAAAGAAATATGGGCTTTGATGAAATGTAATAATTTAAACTAACATTTTGTCAGCAAGGCAGCTGGTGTCCAGGATAGAATATATGTCTAAAACAATAGCAAGTATGTGCGCCCAAACAAATACATACCCAAGAGAGCAAGGAGTACCTTGTATTGTACCAGCAGTGAATGATATATACTTACTGTTCTGGAGAGTTGATGTCTTCTATGGGATCTTTGCTTGTTCTGGAAGGGTCTGATGAGCCCCACTGTGCTGGTGGATTTTGATCAAGATGATTTTTCAAAATGGCTTTCTCACCATCTGCATGGACAAGACATTCAATTTTACTTTACTGTGACCAAGTGACCATTTTAAAATGGTTCCATTTTAAAATTTCCCAGATATCCATAATGCCACAAAGTAAACTCATTCCAGCTATATTCCAATATAGTATCAGGTTTTCCTGTGAGAATTTGGTACTCTTATGTATTGGATGATGTATTCCTCCATAAGAACTATCACGAAGAAACAGAAAAGTGACAAAAACTCATATTTCCTTTGCTTCCCCCCGCCTTTAAAAAAACTCCACAGTCCAAACCTTGTTGCCCAACTCTATGTAGATAATGTCTCTTATCTACTCTTAGGCTATGGGGAAAATTAATGTAAGTGTACTGTTCTTAGAAATTGTAACCTTTTCATAAGAAAAAACCTTCTTTGTTAAGACTTTTCCTAGAAAAACTATAATATCATTGATGTATAAAACCTTGGTACTCTTATGATCACATAGGCAATTAGGTGCTGTCATTTAACTATCTGCTACTGCTATCATTTTGCACGGAAATATGATTCATATCAGTTGCACTGGTCCATAGGCTGTCTGCAGGAAGGACAGCTAATGATGTCATTAAGTTTTCTCCTGCCGTTCTCCTTTCTGCAGAGCGATAATGAAAAAGATCATCATTTTCCCCATCCCTCGCTTCACTTGATTCCCCTGGGTGTCCTGTGAGTCCCTGTGAGTGCTGAAACCCATGGCATCATTCCCCCTGAGAAACACGGGCAAACACAGCCATTTTAAGCAGGCTGTCTTTGCCAGGGATCCTTTCTGTTCCTGCCTGCTTTTCCAAAGTCTCCTCCTGTGTTAAGCCAAATAAAATCACATGGAAAGCATCTGAATAATGAGGACAGTTCACAGTTTTCATAAATAATTACAGAGTAGCTCCAAATCCATCACCAGCAGTTGTTTGCCACACAAACAGAGAAACAGTGATTGCTGCAGGCATTGAGGCAGCAAAGTCCAAAGTAAATTCTTGAACAGGATACTGAAGGATTTCAACATAAAAATGGATGTGATAGCAAAAAGCAGAAAACGAGTGAAGAGAAAAGAAAATAGCATGAAAAAACCAGTGCATTTTGAAGGCTTAAGTTGCTTTGCTGTTCTACTTATGCTCAGAAGCCCCATCTAATGATCCCAGCATGCAAGGAAAATATGTGTTACTGACAGGCATTGGTGGGACAAAACAAGCAGCAGAAACACAAAGTAAGGAAAGAAGTTGAAAGCATAAACAGAAATGTTTGAGGGCAAACTCCAACACGTATAATTGCCCTCCCAGCAAGGTCATCCCTGGCATTATGTGACAGCATTCCCTTTCTGCTATGAAAAACCTAACAAGCAACATGGAAAGAAGAGCGAAGGTGAGGATGCAACAATGTGCAGACATGAGGATCATTACAGCTCAGAAAAAAAGTTTTTGCACTTATGTTGCATTGAAAAGAAGGGTCTTGGTGAAAAAGAAGGTGACAAGAACACATGAAGCTTTTGGGTGGGGCAAGAAAATGTCAGTAAAAGAGAGCCAAGGAAATCAGCCATGGCAAGAAGACTGTTTAAAAGAAAGAGATGGCAAGATTCACTGATGGTTTAAATGTGAAGGGAGAACAGCAGAGAGTCAAATCTGACAGTGGCTAAGCAAGGAGGTCTATTATCTCACAGCAGCCTGAAGTTTGCTGGTGTGGCATTTGCTGTGACAAGAATTCAGTTTTTATTTTCTATATATCACATTTCTTTGTATATTGAGTTTGACATTTGCATAAAAGGCTTGTGATGTCTACAAATAGTAACATAGAAAAGAACATTTTTTACTTCTACGATTAAAAACAATGTTCAATCCTGAGCTGATCTAAGCTGACAATGAAAACTGCTGACTTTTTGATAAAGACCAAAGTAAAAATTTGAGTAACCTTTGTAATTAGAGATGAAAAAGCCCTATGACTTAATTACTTTAGGGTTCCAATTCTTTTGGCCCAGATAAGCAATCTAACATTTTGCAAGGCCACTGAAGATATAATTTTTCGTCAAATGATTGGAATATGCAACTGTTCCTATTTGCGAGTATGTGATTTAATATATTAATCTGTATTGTACGCCACTAAAGGAGTTTCATGTACTTTCAGATGTGCTGAGAGAGAGAGAGAGAGAAGGAGGTGGTCCCTGTCAAAAAGGTGGGGGATTTAGCTTAGAGTAGAGCAGAAATCGTATATTCTCTGCCTACTCACCTCTCAACACCAACTGCCCATATATCACCGTGTGTTATTCTTAATAGACCCTTTTCTACCACCCTTGCAGATGACTCTCTTAATATACTGAATAAATATCTGTGTACAAGGCTACCAAATGCAAATTTTAATGCATATGTATAAAATACAGACAAAATTCACATAAAGCTGTCACTTTTTTTTTTCCTTTTTTTTTCTTTGCTTCTTTCAAAATAAAAATAATTTTAAAAAGGGGAGGTAATTCTTATTTGTTAGACTTTCTGGGAGAGGAGTGGTCAGATTTTTATTTTGCAGCTACAGAAGCTAGAATATCTTCATTTGTCATTTACTTCTCATTTAAATAACGACGAACAAGATTCTCACTTAGTCATATGCTTCTAGGAGCTGGAGCTTAAAGGAAAAACACTATTACCATATGCACTTAAAAAACTAACGGATGGAGAAGACCGGTTTTACACAAGTAAACAACTGAAAGAAAAGAAATTAGGGTAATCGTAAACATTTGAGTTCCCAGTTTCCCCTGGAAAGTGTAGCACTGCTTTTGGTACTTTCCCATCTTCTCCTCCTCTGTCCATTAATTATGACACAGGGAAAATGCCTTTCATTCTCTGAGTACTGTCTTCCAATGCAGATACTACCGAGAAAGTTGCGGTGTGATGATCTAACTACCTTCTAAATTGAATTTACATTACCCAGAAGCACCTTCTCAACAATTTTCACCTTTGTAGACCTCAAACTGGAACTCAGAAGTCTGGATAAGTGATGCCTGAGCATTTCCCATTCAGAAAACTGTCGGGGGAAAAAAGATAAATAGATCTCAAGGGCCTCGCACAGCACTCACTGATGGGTTCATTAGAAAACAAAGCTTGTTGGTGAGAGCCAGAAGGTTTTAGCTCAGGACTTTTGCCTACCTGTAGCAAAGAAACAGCTTCCAATTACAAAGCTCTGCAAGAGCACACCCGACGCAGGTTGCCGAGGGGCTCAGCAAGGAGGTCACTGCTGCTGCCTCTGCCTCTGCCAGGGGTGACGGTCGCTTCCGACATATAATAACTCCACAAGCTGGTGCTGCCTAAATTACCTGGGCAGGCTTAAATGCGCCATGCATTTTAATGACCCCTGTTCAGCTGCAGGCAGAAAGCACCAGGTGACTGATGCTGCTTCAATTTCTTCCAAGAGTTTAGAAACCATATTTCTTTAAGTAGAAGCTTGTTTTGTTGATGTTTGTACGCCACAGCTTTATTGAACATCTTCATCATTACGCTTTAGTGGCAATATTCCTCTGACGGCTTACAACTGGATGGCAGAACTGCTCATCATCCAACATCAATTTCACTGTTGTTTTCTCTTTGTTAGAAAGCATATTTTATGCCCCACAAAGAAGCAAGTGTGGTTTAATAATGACTTACAAGATCTGGCAGAGATAACTTTGCTGATATACAAAAGAGGTCTGGAAACTTTAAAGCTTAGAGGTAGATTTTTAAAATCGGCTGTAATTTTTCCCAGTTCTGTTGCTTGGACTGTAAAACATGACTAGCCAGTCTCTGTTTTTCATGTGAATTGGGTATAAAGAAAGTAAAATGAAAGGAAAAATTAAAATGATCACATAGTCTGCTGGGTAATCAGAAGAAGTTCTCCTGAAGCAAGCGCTCCACATCAGCAGTCTAAATTATGACTTGTCATAGTTTTGCTATGAGAGGAAGATTCTTTTAAAGGGAAAAATCAGCAAAGTTCTGCTCTGATTTAAACTACTTTATTACAGGTTAATTTCTGTGAAAGAAAGGAAAGGTACTGAACCTCTGACAGTTTAGTCTCCCTGTTGAAATAGAACAAGCTCTTATTTCAGGGTTAAATCCATTTGCTAGGCTTCATAGAAACTAGCATACATATCTCCATATACCTCTATATACAAGGGATATAAGGAACTATATCTTTTCTTTAAAACAGCATTACTTTATAGGAGATATTTCTGAAAGCCTTTACCTTTAAATCCATTTTTCAATCTCAAGCTTAATACTTGAATCATGCAAACTTCATAGAAGTGATATTTCCCCCCCTCTATCACGGATGAACTCTGTTTTGCTTCACATTTGAGAGCAACACGCCTTTGAAATCTGGGGTTTTTTTGAGCTGCTTTTACATGGGAAAAAACTAACACTAGGAAACATCATAGTGAGGTGACAAGTGACAGTATGTAGGCATATCTGACATGTAAATGAGTGCTCCCAGTTCATTTACAGCAATGAGTAAAGGCTGCTTTCTGGTTTAAAACAGACAAGGCTTTCTGAGCAAGGAAGGGTGCCTGCAGAGAGAGAACTTGCAAAAAGGGTTTGTTCGTAAGTGGGGACTATGGTAAAACTATCTCTTGCTTCTTCTGGGTTACATAGGATGGCTGTCATTCATTAATTTCCCTAATATGCTACTCCGAAATATACTGGACAAGGCAGTGATAGATGGAGACTCTACTGCAGGATTTCTTCTGAGCTTTGCTTTATATGAAATCCTTGAAATCTATAAATCTGTTAATTATTTCATGTGGAAATAATTTCATGTAGTAAAAAAGTCAACTAGAAGTCAAGTAGAGTAAGACAGTAAGATGCCAAGTGCAGCAAAATTATCCAGACACCCCCCCCTCCCAACCATAGATACCATAGTATCTTCCCTCTGTGTACTTTTTGGTAGCTTTTATCTTTACAGGACCTTGTACAGCAGAAATAACTTCTACCTTCATGAAGTCTCTCCTGTTTCTGGCATAGTGATGTGGGTGCAAGGAGCACCTTTGGGAAGCTCTGGTTTGTGTCCTTGTCAGGATATTTCTTCCCTGTAACTGTGTGACACCACCTTTCTCTTTACACAGCATCACAGTTACAAGCATTTGTCCTCCTTTTTTCCCAAATGTCAGCCTGAAAAACACAGCTGTGCCTTCAAGCCTGACTCTTCTTGCTGAATGGCACTGTCAATTACAGGGACGGCATGATCCAAGCATTGATTTCCCTCACAACCCATCGCTGCCGCAAACCCAGGCTCTAAGGTGGCTCTGCTGCTCCAGCAAGGCCACCAGATCTCACAAATGCTAGGGGCAGAAGTTAATGTTGCGCTGTGCACAGAGCTGAGGTCACTAGCAGACACGGTAACTCAAAGTGATCCGAGGAATGTATTGAATGAAGTTAAGGGAATGCCCTTTTAAATTCATCAGGGGAAGCCATCTGGAGTCCCAGAGCCGCAGTCTGTGGAGCATGCTGAGAACTGCTTGACCACACAAAGCTATCTAGCAGGACAGCTAAAAGCCTGCATTAAAAGAAAGCAATCAAACCATAAACCACAAATCACATTTTGCTAATTGCTTTTCTTACATAGCCAATTGCTGTAGATGTTTCAGGGACATTACACATTTGTGAACAAGAGACGAGTGTTTCAGATAATATCTCTCTAAATGGGGTGTACTGAAATGTGCTGTAAAGGAGCGGTCCCCCGTGCCAGCAAAGAGCTCCTGGGCTACACCGGGAGCTGTTGCTGTTAATAGCTAACCAGGAATCCCAAAGTTATGAAATGTTGCATGAGGTCAGGCAGGTACAGGAGTGCACAGCTGTGTCTGCCTATTTTGGCCAAATAGGCATTTTGGCATTTGTATCCTAAATCCATATTTGATGTAAATGAGAGTAGTGGGGAAGGGAGAGTCAAATAACTTCCTTTGGCACTTGGCTATAGGAGTTAGGAATTTTAAGTCAGGACAGTTTTAACGGATCAGAAGCCTACTGAAGTGTACTATGGCATGAAAGTTTGATTAGGGCTTGTTAGAGATGCATTGCCTATGTCCCACGTTATGATCTGTACTGTGAAGAGCTGTGCCCTGAGTTTGTGTAAGCAATAGCAATAGGTTACACTATGTGGCATTCTCCATGTGAACTCCTCCAGAACATAAATACAATTGACATGAGATTGAGCCACAAAGTGAATGTGGCAAATGATCTGCTATGATTTTTAGCTCCAAGCTGGCTGCTCTTATGAGTGTTTCTCTTCACTGTCCTTTTCCTGCTCTCTCAGCTCACATTTTTCATAAGGTCAAGGTAGGCACAAATCTTGTCATTGCCTTGAAAACAATATTGCACTGTTTTCCCCAGTTGCATGGTGGACATGAGAGACATGGTCACTTCCAGGTCATGCTAATAGTTTATTTACAATTTTGAAGACTTACTCAAATACCATCAGGCATGCATAATTTCAAGGCTCTATACTTTCCTTTACAGAAAGTTACATGAAATACATAGCTACAGAAAGCATAGTTATGTCACTTAGAGTTAGCTTATCTGTAGCCTTAAGGGTCAGAATTCTTTTAAGTACCATTTAAGTGATGTCTGAATCTGCACAGAAGCAGCAGTGACTCAGCAGCATGAATTCTCCAAAGCCTTGTTATTTTGATTGGAATGGGAAATTTAAATTAAGTGCATTGGTTGACTATTGAGAATGGATGTGGTGAGAGAGATAGAGAGAAGATTCAGATTTAGCCAAGTGATAGGGAAATGTGGAAAGAGGGAAAACAAGAGGCAGAAGAAAGGGAAATGGAGGGACAGAAAAAGGCTAGCAAAGGTTGTTGATCATGGTGGCTTAGAGCCTGGAAATATGAATATTTGATGTCACTTGAGTTAGGATCAGAATACACCATAATATGCATGCTGCTTGGAGCATTTGACACCAGGTGTAGGACTAAGCTTGTAACACCTGCTGCAAACTGGGATCCAGGTCTTCCTCATTCCCAGGTGAATGAATACTCTAATCTTTCAATATATAGATGGCCAAAGGAAAACACCTTTCTCCCCGTCTCACATTTTGTGTGAAGCTTTATGTAGTAGATCTGTTGAGAAAATTGTCTGGCAACTTCATTATGCAGAAGAATATCTACCCTGCAAATCCCAGTAATACGTAGTTTCAAGCTACTCTGGACATTAAGGTTCTGTACTGGCAGGTGATTTTAAATATGTACCCCACTGAAGAAATATCAAAGTCAGGGAACTGTACTGTGGGAAAAATACAAACACAATCAATTTTGGATGATGCTGCTTAAAGCAGCAGTTAGGCATCAATGTCTTTTGTAGATATAGCCACAAGTAAGTGCAGAAAGGTTATATTTTATCCTTGATTTCTTTGCCAGCATCCTACTGCTAATGGAGTGTATCCTGCTGTGGGAAGCATCCCATCCTAAATTTATGCCCAGTGTATCTCTTGAGAAGCATTTTTTGTTTCTCATATCCAAACTCAGATGGGCATTTGGCACAATGCAATGTCTCTTTTCTGCTTGAAATATTATTCATGATTTATCATTTTTCCTGGAGCATCTGACATGAGAGGAACATTCTATGTGTTCCTTTCAAACACTTGGTAAAACTGCCTCATCCCACTCACTGATGTTAGTTCTTGCTCCTGATCTCAGCCCAATAATCACACGCCTCCAGCAGCTATTTACGTTTTCCTTTTCCTCCTTTCCCCACTTCTGTTTTTTTTTTTTTACTTTTAAAAAGGACACTGAGAACTCTTCCTTTTTTTTTTTTTTTTTTTTTTTTTTTTTTTTTTTTTTTTTTTTTTTTTTTTTTTTTTTTTTTTTTTTTTTTTTTTTTTTTTTTTTTTTTTTTTTTTTTTTTTTTTTTTTTTTTTTTTTTTTTTTTTTTGCTGCAAGCTACACAACCCAGTGTATACTCAGGCTAAAACAAAAGGCACAAGAAAAAGTAACCTCATCCAGCCAAAATTTCAATATACTTCAAAACCATATGTGAACTGTTGCTGTTGTTCTAAAATTATTCTTCAACAACTATATTTAAAGGAGTAGCTTCTGTTCCGCTTAGCCAAGCTTACAGTGTCACATCAATAGCAAGCCTGCAGTGTAACAAACATGCAAATCTACAACTTCCCAACACAGGGCAACTAGTTTCTCACATACTATAGTAATATTCTGCTGTACAAAGTTATTTGCCAGAAGCCACAAAGTTGATCCATTCTAGAGCCAGAAATGGAAGGTGGATGTCCTGGCTTCCACTTTTATTGCACTATGCACCAGATCTTATTGCTTCCCAAAAGCGAAATGGCTTTAATGGAAGCAATTCTCTCGCATGTATTTCTTCAGGGAGCGATGCAAGAGACACAGTAGAAACAACTTAGGAATATTACAGTTGTCATGAAATTCTTTTTTATCAGTTCCAAGGGAAGAATTTTCATACATGAGTGCCTTCAATTCTGCATTTAGAGTCCAAATCAGCACTGAAATATTTACATTCTCTTCTTTTATGTGCTTGATAGCAGTGTCCAAAAGCAGGATTTGAGCATCCTAGTGAAGCAAGCACATATTAAACCAGGCTTCCTACTGCTGAAGGCTTAACTCCCACAAAATCTGAAACATTCTGTGACTTTCCTCCCTCCATGCAGCACAGAAAACTTGACTTCTGAACACAAGTACTCTTTTAGAAGTTTCCCACTTTACCATGTGTATTACAATAGGTGGCATACATATATGCATACATACATACATAACTACTCTGTGTGCACCATATTGTTTATTACATGAATCTGCATACTTCCTGTAATGCAACCAAAATATTTAAAGCTCTGCCTTACCAAGGTCTGAGTGCTCTGGAACCAATCCAATGAGATTGCTACTCAAAGTTTTGATGCGTTAAGCTACTAATGGATTTTACTAACTCTCACCTTTGCTGTCTGTGAAGTTCCGTATACTAAGAATATCATTAAGATCCTGATAGTGGTTCTGCTTAATGTATGTTGTTTTCTCAGGAGTGTCCTGAAGTTGCATTGTGACCTCTTCCAAGTCTTTGTCCAGCTGAAAAACAAAGAGAGTACAAATACCTAAAAATTCAGGAGTAATTGCATCAGGTATCTGCATTAATTGCATAGCTTTCCATAATTAGACTAGAAGGTAGGTGATAATGCAATTACTACACTGTGCCAAATACAGTCTTCTTATAGCACTACTACACTACCTCTAAAAATCATGCTACAGGTAACAAATTATGTTCAACTGTTGCACACAGGGCATATGAGAGGAATAAGCTTTAGTAATTGAGAGTTTAAGCAATACAAATGTACTGATGAATGAGAAAGAGATGAGATATAGGCATCAGAAATCCCAGTCTGCAAAGCTCTCAACTCTTCATTATTTATGTGTAAAATTGTGGCATACATAGCCATAACCACTTCATCCATCAAATTATCAAACATACAGGAGAATGTAAGTGAGCTGTGACAAGGAAACTCTGATTTGGATTCACTGGTTCTGGGCATTTAGTCTATCTAAGCAAAGTCCAAATAAGAACAGCAGGACCCTGTGTGCACTGATGTGGCTCAATGGCTCTGACCAGCCTTACCTGTGCTCACCATCACGAGCCTTGCAAGGCACAGGCTGAGATCCTAAAGAGTTAGGAGGCTTAGTAGAAAAAACTATAGTAGGGTAAAGGAACAGAAATAGCCAGTAGGCAGATAAGCCTTCATTAAATTTCAAGGCTTTTACATGAAAGGGACCTGGCAAAGCTGAACTAATTTTCTTTAACAAGGCGGAGATAACTTTTGCTTTTGGAGTCTTTGGTAGCCTGAGTAAAGACCTTTTAGTTACCTAGGCAGTTGTTGTTACTTAAGACCTGAGCAAAGAAGTAATTGTTGCAATAAAATACCTTTTCTTCAAGGTATAAGAGTACTTCACAGGTTGGAAAAGAACAGGTTAGTTTGTGCACAATATAGATCTGTTATGGTTATCTTGTCTCACATACTGGACAGTCTTCAAGACTGATTTGCCATTGTTTCAGGTCTCCTGAGCAAGGATGGGTATAATTATAAATGCACATCCTACAGCTCTAAAGGAATTAATGTACTCCATGTACTCAGCCTTTCCCTCAGTAAGTACTGAAGGAGCTTCATGGCCTTTGTGCCAGAGGGGTCAGCTTACATGATCATTAAGGTCCTTTCTATCTTAAGAAAAGATGTAATTCTGTTTCATAGAAGATATGAAAACCCGTTTATCAAGTTTTTGAGCAAACTCTCAGGGAGGTTGAGAAATAACAGCAACAGCAGTCTCTGAACTCAACCGTAAACAGCAACAACGACAGCCCTTAAGTGGCCCTGGGGCTGCGGTCTCTGTTGCGCTTGCATATAAAGGTTACACTCCTAGAGCTACTGCTTCTGTGGTGCTCAGCATGTCCATGTGAAACAGCAGGGTAATTGGCCTGTTACAAATAAATAGGGGAAGTTTATTCTTGTTTTGCTAAGGCACATTTTCATTTTGTCACACCTGCTAAGTATTCGCTGTACTAATTAGCTATTCATATAAATCGTCCCTTTCCTATTACTTCAGTACTTTCTTTGGGGAAAGCTTTTTTTTTTTTCCTCTCTAAAAGGTAGTCAGCATTTAAATAGATTTCAGAATTGCAGCAAAAACATAATAAAAAATGAAGTGCCTGGACAGTATATACAATAAACAATACCTCTGTAATTTTCATTCTCAAGCGGTGGTTCTCTGACTGCAATCCTTCTAGTCGAGATGTGCTGGCCTGATTGACACTGGTGACTGATGTGGATGTTTTTGAATCTTCTTTCTTTTGATTTTGAGTGAACTGAAATCGTCTGTTCTGTGTGGCTGCATCTGGATTTGTTCTCAGTGTGATGAGCTGAAAGGTTGAAAAGCCTTAAGAAATCCTGTTTTATTTTTGCAGCTATGTATTTTGTAGCTCAAAATACTGAAAGGCAAGCCAAGAGTTCCCTTTTGACTTTCAAGTACAAAACTCTGGAAAGTGAGCTCTACTTGCCATAACCAGTACTTAAGATACGTTCTGAATAACTTTATAGAAGAGATTGAATGAAGATGATGAGAATGGAAGCATTAAAAAAAAAAAAAAGAAAAAATAATTCAAAATATATTTATCTGGATTTTAATTACATTGAAATAAATATATTGTAACATTTTATCAAATGTATTTTTCCCCTTCATTGATATCTTTTTACTTTCAAAGGATATACTCCTTCCCCAAGGAAAAAAAAAAAAATCCATCAAGCCCTTCTCTTCCCAAGCACAGTTTCATCTGAAATTTCTCCTTTCCTACTGTTACAAGTAACACTCAGGCAGAGAGAGTCATGAAGCAGGAGTATTAACAGAGGGAGCTCATGGGAAATTGCACTCTGGAGATAACAGAAACTTAATTAGTTTTTAGGGACCAAAAATAAACCAAATCTGTTCAAACAAATTAAATAAGCCATTTTAAAAAAGGTTAAACTTAAACATAGTTAATTTAAGCAAATATAAGTAAAATTTAACACTCAGTGACAATGTGAAAATATCACCTTGACATGAGGAGAGAAAGCTACTGCTGTTTGGCAAGGGGGAGAGAGATTCTCAGATTACTCCAGAGAATACAAAATTTATGTTACTTGCCAAGCAGCATACATATACATTTGTATACAGACAAAGCTGAAGGAGCTCCCTGCCCTGAGAGCATAGGCATGGCAAATAAATCCAAAGTTGTCTGAAAAGAGGGATGGGGCAATCATTTTTTAAGCACAGCTTAGCCAGATTTTGTGGTATAGCCACATTTAGGAATTGGTTTCTCTTATTTTTAAGAGCATTAAACTGTTCTGCAGCTTTGGTGGCATAAAGTAAGGCCCTAACTTCTGACTGAGAGAAATCTGACTGGGCAGACACTGAAACATCTGGTCCTTGGCATGTACCTACAGACCAAGTCTACAGGTTGGGATGATGCTTGCAGACAATAAATTTCCTTTCTACGGTGGTAAAGTAGATGGAGAAGGCTAAGGTTTTCTGTGTCTTCTTCACCGTAGTCTTTAATGGTAAAACTTGCCTTCAGAAATCCCAGATATCTAAAGCAATTGAACACAAGTTCAGGCAACCTGACAAGTTGCATCCCTGAGGACTAAGAGGATGGTCAGTGTCATTGTGAGGCCACTTTCAGTTACTTTTGGAAGATGATGTCAATTGGGAGAAGTTCTTGAGGACTGGAAGAAAGGAAATGTCATATTTGTGTTCAGGAGAGTGAGAGGAGGATTTGAGCAAATGCCTTCTTCCCACCTTCACCTCAGTCCACTGAGGATGCTACAGCAAATCCCCCTGGTAACCATTTCCAAACATATGAAGAGCAAGAAGGTGATTAGATGCAGTCATTGTTGATGTAGGAAGGAGAAATCTTGCCTGACAAACCTGATTTATAGCTTTCTTCAGTGCGATATATGGGCTGATAGATCAGGGGAGAGAGTTATTTTTCTTGACTTAAGCAAAGATTTCAACACTGTATCCCATAACATATTCACAGTCAAACTGAAAAAAGAGTGACTGGGTAAGTGGCCACTGAAGTGGATTCAAAACAGGCTGAACCAACTGGCTGGGAGGATTGTAACAGCCAGTCACCAGTGCTGTACCTCAGGACCACAGTAAGACCCATACTTTGTTAGTGACCTGGATGGTGGGCTTATCAGCAGGTTTGCAGATGATCCTTAAAGAAGAGGAGGTGTTGATACACCAGATGATTGCTCTGCAGTTCAGGGGGATGTCAAGAGACTGGAGATCTGGGCCAGTAAGAATCTCCTGAAGGTAGGCAAAGGGGAATACTAGGTCCCATCCTTGAGGAGAAATAAATCCCAAGCATGCACCCAAACAACATGAGGGGTGTTTGGCTGGAAAGCAGCTTTTCAGTAAAGGCACTGGAAATTCTGGTGGACAATAAGTATAACATGAGCCAAGAGTACCCTGGGCCAAGGGAGACGATCCTTCCTATCTGCTCAGCCTGGGTGAGAGCACACCTGGAGTGTTGTGTCCAGGTCTGGGCTCCCCAGAGCAAGAGAGACATAGGTGTACTGAAGAAAGTCCAGAGAAGGGCTGCAAAGATGCTGAGATTGGAGCCTTATAATACAAGTGGAGGCTGATGATTGCTTAGCCTTGAGATGGAAGAGATTGGTGGAGGAATGACATTGTGTATAACTATACTATGGAAGAGAATATGGAGGATAGAACCAGATTCTTCTCAGTGGTGTGCAATGAAAGGAAGGGAGGCACAAGCTGAAAAACCAGAAATTTCACCTAAACATTAGAAAAAAAGCTTTTCCTACTGTGAATGTGATCAAATGCTGGTAGAGATGCTCAGAGGGGTTGGGAAGTGTTCATTTCTGAAGATAACCAAGATCCAGTTGCTCAAGGCCCTGGGTATCCTGCTGTAGCTGAGCCTTCCTTGAACCCCTGCATCTTCACTTCCACCTTCTTTATTTCTAATTAGGCTGGCTGTAGTGATGGGTGTGCCTAACTCCCACACCGAAAACTGCATGAAAAGGAAGTTAAAGGTGAAGAACGGTAATAACAAGGCTTCTTAACTTAGCAGGCAGAAGTGTTACAATATAAAAATTCTTCGATTTGTTGTGGTGTAAGTTCAAACTGAATATAAGATAGAAGTAAAGCCACCCAGCAGTTGAATCCTGTTCACCTAAGAGTTTATAGCTAAAGACAGGATGATTTGCAGCAGGGACATATGCTGTAATAAATTAATTCACATGGTGAGGATTGTCCATGAGCAATGTTGTTGGCTTAGACTGCACAAGGAATGAGATTAAATGAGCTTTTTTCTTTTTTATTTTCTTTTTCTTCAGGCCATAAAATCAGTGAAACTTAGGTCTTGCTATCTTACATCTGTGCAGTTTCAATTTTAACAAAGGGTCAATGCTGAATACCTACAGAGTCAATTGCAAATAGACAAAAAGTGCTACCAACACAGAAAATTAATGTTTTAATCCCTAGAACTGATTTTGCCTTGCTGCTCTACAGGAAACTGGATCAGAATTAATGTGGTAATGCCACTGCAGCTAACAATGGTATGTACTCAGTGGGTGACTACAAGTGAACACAATGTTCTGTCTCAAAAGGGATAGAGCAGAAAAAACGAAAGGACATGGAAATTTGATAAACATGGATAAACATGGGACAACTACTTCATGAATATTAGGCTTTCTTCTTTTAAAGAAGTGACGATTATGCTGAAAAATACTATAGATATGTCAGTCCTTAAAAAGATAATTAGATATAGCAGTTAACTTCTAACAGGAAAAATATACATAACACGTTTGAATTCTGCAGGTCACTTCTAGAAGATATCCTTGAACCCAGAAATCAATAATAGTTCTAAAAATATTTGGACATTTTTTGATTGGATAACGAGACTGTCTACAGTTACTGTCAGTAGGATGTTGTCTAATGTTATCAACACTTATACCTTTAAGTGGAGAGAGTGATGAACATTTGTACCCTGATCTGTCTTACTCTGCTACGGGATTTTCTTCATGTTTTTTTCTGAGGCACTTGGTACCGAATGAAATGGCAGTGGACAAAGAGGACATTTAACTGGAGAAGTATAGTAATTGCCATGTTAGAAGTAAATAAGATGAGTAGAGCTGACAAGAAGGAAGGGGAAAATGTCATGTTTCATTCCCTAATGTGTCTACATATTGTTGAATAGTTGCCTATTCAGATTCACAAAAGGGCTGTGGGGCAAAATTGAATTTCAGCACTGTTGACCCAGGACACTACTGAAGATTAGTTAAAAGGAACGAACTTTACTCGGTATAGCAGAGAAGCAGTAGCACTTACCTGGCTCAAAACCACATTACTGCTTTCATCTGTCTGGTCAGAGTTTAATAAATAAAAAAGTGCAGTCTTTCAAGTCTTCATTATCATCTCCTGTGCTTGACAAACCACAGGCTTTAGCCATCTTCCTATGTCATCAAAATTGTACTAATTTATGACATACTTGTTAAGGGGAGAGATTTGGTGCCTGTCTCACACTAACATCTTACCTAGATGTGCAAACTGGGTGGTGCCGGATACAATCTTTCGTGGGATCCAGAAAGGCTATTGTGAAACCTGTGCTGAAGTAGGTTGCAGCTAAGAGTGCTTGCCAGCCATCCTGCTGTGACTGTGGCACAGCACAGAGAGAAGAGACGCACGACAAAATATCCGAGTGCAAGCATAAGAACTCTCCAGCTGTGAAAGCACTCCCATGGGCATTGGGAGTGCTGCATTCCAGCCCCTGATTCAACTTTTTTTTTTTTTGGTACCTTATCCAACGACGAATTTTATTGCAAAAAAGCTAAGCATTTGAAAACCTGGCAATACATGGAAAGAGGTTAAGTACTTCACACTAGATGGCTATGGTTCATATTTGTATTTTGAGGAAAAAAGAACTGAGAGAAAAATGAGGGCAGGGTAATTGGGGTTTAAAAGAAGATCAGATGAAGGGGTTAAAAAAGGAAACAGAAAAGTGATTTCAGAGCCTGTGACAATGTAAGAGAAGGATGGGCAAAGGAACATGAAAGCAAAAGGGCAAAGAGCTTGGACAGCATTAATACTTCTGTTTGAAGAGAGTTCTGACATTCTGTGGAGGTATTTTTGGCATCAGAGTTTTAATATGCATTTTCATACAGCTTACACACTTAAATCTTGCAGTATTTTGAAGTACACTCTATTATGTTTGTGAATGTTCCCTTAATTTAGAATGAAGTTATGATTCTTCCCCAAGATCCAGAATAAAAATATGACTATATATGTCCATGTATGGCTTTTTAATATTTGAGAAGGGAACTGCAGAACTTGTAAAACTATCCTATTTAGTCAGTCCTGGAGGATGAATTACTTCGCTTTCTTTCAGATCAGAAATCAGCTTCTATTGCTAGTGTGTGCCTCTAATTTCCTTCAGAGAGTACACTTTGATATAAATTTATTAGCTTTTATCTTTTACACAAATAGTTCTTGCTCCCCCTATTAGATGGGATGCCACTTAGCACCAGAATCTACTGACTATGTTTTGCTCAATACATTGATTGAACATAGTCCAGTAAAGAGCCACAAACTTTTTATCAATACTCATTTGAAAAACCTAAAACCAGATTTGAGAGGGAAAAGGACCTACATTTTGACTCTTGCCTTGCAAATATTTTGGACATCCAACTGCATATGCATCTGATTTGGGGTGATAAGCTACATTTATGCAAGTCACTTAAAATTAATGCAAGTGCACATCTTACTTCAAAATACCAAATGCATTCCCTAGCACTTGAGACTTTGCTAAAGTAAGCTTACGTAAAAACCAGTTTTCCCTTCATTCAAGATCTGTCGTATTCACATCTAAAGCTTAATTCTGCAAGGAAAATGGTCAAGTTCCCTCCCTCGGTGGGTAAGGGTCTTCTCCGTTCTTCTAACAAGGCACAGTGAAAGCATCCTCAGAGCCCAAAGGAGCAAAACGAAATGAAAGCATATGCCTCCTAGTCTGTGCCTCACTTAGTCCATTAATATACGCATTAATAAATATAACTTCAGTGTCAGCATTTGCAGCATACATACAGAGGTCCTTTCAAGTACTGAAAAAGCATACCGTAGCACTGTCCTTGAACACTTCGAGGTTTCAACACAGTTGACCTTACATAAGGCCAGTGAACTAAAATGATCTTATTGTTTTGTGTGTGTAGAAACAAAGATTTTGATTGTCTTGCTTAGGGTACGTAAGAATCATAGAGTATCCTGGGAAGGGACACACAAAGATCATCAAAGTCCAACTCCCGGCCCTGCACAGGACAACCCCAAGAATCATACTGTGTGCCTGAGATTACTGTTCAAATGCTTCTGGAACTCTGCCAGGCTTGGTGCTGTGACCACTTCCCTGTGGGGCCTGTTCCAGTGCCCAACCACCCTCTGGGTGAAGGACCTTTTCCTAATATCCAACCTAAAACTCTCCTGAGATAGCTTCATGCCATTCCTTTGAGTCCTATTGCTGGTCTCCAGAGAGAAGAGAGTAGGAACATGGCAGAGTAGATAACAGGAACTGTCCCTCCTGAATCTCCACTTATAGTTCTTTTCAAAAAGTTTCTAAAAGTTGGAAATAGAGACTATTCCAGTGAAACTACATAAAACAACGTTTGTTTCCCCAGTCACAGTTTCAGTAAAAATATAGGCATTAGAAACTCATGTATTCACACTCCTGTAATGTCACATATTCCAATTTCTCCAAAATCTCATGAAGCTTTTTTTTTCCCTCAGGGTTTGGAAGTAAGATGGGCTTGATTAAGCCTTCACACACATCCCCTGCACTTGGAAAGGCAATAAACATTTATATATTAAATCATAATTACAAAACAGAAGAAAAAAATCCAGATCCATGCAAAACATGTTCACTCACCTTAGGTACAAACACAAGGCAGAGAGTAATGGTGCTGCAGAATATTATGACTAAAGCAACAATGCAGAACTGCACATTGGGTTGGTCCCGGGTAAGGAACGAAACAGCAGCACCAATGATGCACATTATGCCCACGTTGTATACACTCATTCCGATGTACTTGCTGTCATTCAAAGCAGGAATGCTGACGTTTCGTGTCTCCCAGGCTAGGAAACACCCAAATAACTGAAATGTTAAAAGAGAAAGACAAGATGATAATTATAAGAGGAACTGGCTGTCATCCAGAAAAAGCATTAATTTTAAACAGGTAACACTTGTTTTTTAACTTAACAAATGCAGGTGATGTTACAATACAGAGATATACACCTACCTTTTATTCAGTATCTAATTACCCATGTGATCTGTTTTGCTCACTAGGACAGATTTCGCTCTCCCTCTCACAAGAGAAATGGGAAACTTTGAATTAGTTGTTATGGGAATAAATTTCTCTAAATGCTATGGCTATCTTTATTTTGTACTTTTAGTATTTTTTAAAGACAGTTCTTCCTGTTCCTTTTCAAGGATTCCAATAAAGATATAAAGTGCATTGTTCTTTTAGCTATTTTTTAACAGCTGTTCTCAATATACACTTATCAATCCAGTCATTCATTATATGATTATCACCTACATTAATAAGCAGCAGTGCCAAGAAGTGTCCCCATGGGAGATAAATAAACAACGTAGAAAGTGTCACCCCAGTTGTTCAGATTGCAATTATAATGTCTTTTATTATAGTGGGAGTTGGTAATGGCCTTTCAATTGCAGTTGTCTAATGATTTCTGGCATAAAACATTCTTGTGGCAATTTTTTGTTTGCTTTTTTCTTTGGTGTATTTTTAAGTTTTAGCCCCTTTGTTATTTGCAATATGCTTTTGCAATTCAGCAGGGGAAGTCTTTAGTGGAAGGAAGCCATCTTCATCCCTTGAAATTTAATTAGATTTTTCTTCAATGTGAACTGCTGCAAACAATTATTTTCTTTCTCTTGTATTCCTCAGAGAAGTTCTGGCAATGCAATAAAACCCTAAACGAACTCAAGATGTTGCAAAAAGGTAACCTGGCCTACAGTCTAGGCAAAGACATACACTCCTGTAGGAGTGAATGGTGCCTTGGGAAGAATGACAGACAGCAGATGGTATTGGAGAGAAGGGTAGGATAGAGAGAGGAACCGCCATTAAGACCCAAGACATGGTTTTTGTGTTTTCTGGCTTTTTCTGATCACAATGCAGGGACAGACAAGAAGGGGAAAGAACGAAGGTGCACTCCCATTGACCTTAGTACCTTTCCTGCTAGACCATCATGTGTATCTACTGCTCTGTCATGGAGATAATATTCTCTTTTATACAACTGCAATCCATGTGATAATCCAGGAAACTGGAGGTCAATGATGATACCATTTGGGGATTAATTAAAGTTGCCTAGTAGAAACTTACTTTCTGTCTTTTTTCTGTGGTAAATAACCTGGACTAGAAGAACAGTGTTTGGTTGCTAGACAAATACAAGAGAACAGGGAACTGGCAGATTGATGTTTGCCCTACAAACTCAGGTTTCAACTGTAGTAACACATGGACACTAGTAATTGTAAATTTCCTTCATTATTTGCTTAGTTTTTACCTCAACTTACAATAGCAACAAAGGCAACCCTTTGTGACTCAGCTGCTTTGCACTCCCATGGGCACTATCAGGCTGCAGCCACCTACCTACTCACCCAGGCACTTCCAAACAGGCCAGCCCTTCCTTCCCATCACTGAGTTTGTCTGCTAGTTTATTTTATTCTCTTGCCTACAGCACATGTCACACAGCAACATGTCCATGGCTGGAAGGCTTTGGTAGATTAGCTATCTACTGTCAGACCACAGAGTATATCAGGCTGCAGTCCAGGCAAGGGATGTAGAATCACTCACTCGCACACTTTCCAATGCTGCCATCATTGCTGAAATCCATATCAAGATTCATTGGCAAAGGTGGCTCTTAGCAGCAACAGCAGCAGTACCTACCCTTGCAATCCTTACCCAAGTCTTTCTCAACAACCTTCCCACTCTCCCACCTGTACATGCTGCTGCAGGAGATGCTCCTACACAGGGCATTCCCTTGTCTCATCAGTGCAGTCCTGCCTCTTCTATTTAACCCATCTCCTCTGGTAGGACTAAAGCCCACACCTCACTCTAGCCCCTTGCTTCTTCTCCAGCTCTTCCCAGCAGCCTAAGAATTGCAGGAACAATAGTAGTGGCTGCTGCAGGCAGAACATGGGAGAGGGTTCTTCAGGGGTCAAGGTGTCTGTAGAGAGCTACCTGGGTCGGCAAGGGGTCTCAGCCATTCAGGTAAGGCAGCTGAAGACAGCGTACCATTTATCAAGCTAGGTAGCTTTGTGCCAGAGCAGCAGCTCATCCCTTAATATATTTTCAGAGCCCCTCTGTTAAATAAGGTAATAGCTCCAGTAAGGAGGGATGCAGGCAGCACTCCTCTGCTGTTGGGTCCGGCACTGTGCACAGGCAGAGCAGGGAATGTACAGGCTCCTTTACAGGCTCTGCAGGAGCAAATTGTTCATTGTATTCATGGTATTCAGGCTGCACAGGGTACATACAGTGGTGGTACCTTTTTGCAGCACACAAATCTACTCCTCCCAGACATCCCACTGTCTCAGTGGTTGCCTGTCCTGCGCTGCCTGCACTCTTGGTGCTGTGCAGCTCAGCAGTGCTGCTAATTTACGTTTGCCAGCCCCTGAAATGACAAACAGGTTGGTCTGCACTGAGCTGTTTTGAAGGATAGAAGGAATCGTTGTCTGTATTTCTACATCACATTTTTAAAGGATGACATGCTGATTAACTATGGAGAAGATTTCTATCTTCTTCTACTACTGTTAATTATTAATGTGATTTTTAGGGTTGCTGGTCATCCCTCACTCTCCTCCTCTTCTCCTAGTATGAACAGATTCCCTTCCAAAAGCATTATTCTGGGAATACAGCCAATATACTTATGTGAGGACAGCACTTATTACAAATAATGGGGATGAATTTATAGCTGAGGCAGTTATAAAGTGATCTAAAATATCAATTATAATGGAAAAAAGATGGTTTGAAGAGTGTTGTGGGGGTTATGGTTTGGCCCATTCTCATTTATAAATGAGAATAGCATGGAAAATAGTTAAGCATCTTCCAGATGAAAAGAAGATATTTATTTATACTATAACTAAAGAAAGGGAGAGGCTCTTGCAGCAAGGGGGTTTCCGGACAATGATGCACTACTGTAAGGGCTTAAGGATCACAGTTGTGTGTCTCAAGCACTGTTTAGGCCACAGAAGGACTTAGTCGTGAGAAAAGCACAGAATGTAGCCACAGGATGATGCTAAGTCCAGGCTCGGCAGAGAAAAGATCTGGTTAGCACATCCTGAGTAATACACCCAGACAAAAATTCCCACTGCAGCAAACTGTGTAAAGACGCAGCTAATGGTACGCATCTCCCCGTATCGCTAGTCAAACAAAAATCACCCCGAGTTACCAGACAGATGCCTCTCTGGATACCTGAAACTTGGACTGTAAATTAAGCCACCTTAATGAGAGCTTGAGATCAGATAAGGGTGATACTATTGTCTGAGTGTTCTCTCAGGGGAGGTAAACAAAGCTGTGAGAGAAGAATGTATCCCTGATAATGGGCATGAAGAATGTAGAATTTACATACCACAGAGAAAGTCAACTCAGCAACTTTGCTGAAATCAGAATAAGGTAAAAGGTAATTCTGGCAGAGGGAGATCATGGCCACTGACTCACGGCCCACTGACCCAAGAAACCACTGACTCAAAAGGAACGAAAGACTGAGCATGAGACGAATTAGCATTAGAGAATTGTGTAGCCATTGAGTATTAATTCCTTTGTTTGCAAAAATGTATAAATAGTGAATAGTTTTGAACAACCTTGGGACCTCCAACATGGAGAAACCTAGGGTGAAGAAGCACCAATGGGATGCCGCTGGATCCAGGAATGATGACTGTCTTCTGCTTAATCTGTCTGTCTCTGCTGTCTCTCTCTCTTCCTCTCTTTTCTATTTCTTTCTGTCTTTATACCTCACATTTTATCTGACTATTGGCTTATGGCCTCATTTGCACCTTAATTCAGGCAGAGGCATTTCTCAATAATCAGATCTTAACAACTGTAAATTTGAGAGCATTTTTTAAACTTTCATCAGCATTTTGGGTGAAATGCTTGCCTCAGGAAGAGATATCTCCTTTTCTAGAAGTCACAGCTCATCTTTGAAACATGGATAGAAGGTGAGAGTTTTCTGCAGCCTATTGCCAGGGTAGTGGTGATTGCAGAGGTGCTTCTTGTTTGCCTGCTCCAGATGCCTGCAGGGCTCCATGAGGTCGGTAAGATTTCTCCTCTGAGACAAAGCTTTCCCGAGGGAATCTGATGCTTTGCTTTCTCCCCATCTGCCCTCCTATTTTCCCCCTTCCTGAGGCTCAAACAATCTGCACAAATAAAAGATTAAGTTTTATGACTGTAAAAATCCTGTAAATCCTCAAAATGGCTTGGTTGAGGAATGGGATGCAGTTAAAAACACAGACTCATATTACCTAGTTCAGCTCCACTTTACTCCTGAGACCTAAACTTTAAACAGGTAAGTTTATTTATTTACTTATCCCCAGATAAGTAAATTATATTTCAAATTATGCTTGGGGGCACCTAATTCTTGAGACTGCTGTAAATTTAAGGACTATTTGATATTTAAGGCTGCCTGCTGGGATTTGCAATGCAGCTGTCTCTCTTCCTATTACTCCTAGAGGATTCAGGCTGGTAAAGGCTTCTCAGACTGTCTACTGGCTTGGGCCTCACACAAAATGATGCTGGTGATGACCATCGCATAGCTTCATGTTTGGAGAACACAGCACAGCGATGTGCCCCAGATGCCCAACCCCAAAGTAGAGGTTGGCTTCAGAAGGAGCTCTCAACTTCTTTCAGAGCTGTCAGATTTTATGTAGTGAGAGAGTGACTGTCTTAATTACTTGGGCACTTGCGTGGGATGTTAGCTCTGATCTCCGTTGGGAATTTTGATTAAACAGTCTTTAGAGAAGGCGTGCATGAATACACATTGGGATAGAGGCAGGCAGCTCTTAGCAGTGCTTATGTGCTGGATTCAGAGAGGTGTGGGACCCATCTGTCCCCACTGCCTTATACCAGCTCACTTGGCCAGCTCCTT